AAATTACTCCCGTATCTCCAGGTCGATTTAAGTGAGTATATATGACTCTTGTAAAGTTCGTGAGGTAAAAATTTGTGAATCTCAGTTTCAAAGATTGTAAACGTTTTTAAAAATGTTCATATGTTGGAGCTAAAGCTATTTTTGAACAGATTTACGGATTTGTTCAAAGCTAGATTCGGTAGCATGTGCCGCAATCCACCCTAATTAGGCTTAAATAGAACATAGGATACATAGGAACTTTATCCCAAAAGATTATTTCAATTGGACATTAAATGGGACCTATTTGTTTTTTTAAGCTATAAAGACAGAAGCTGTAAACAAGGGATAATCATAAGTCTACTGAACAGTGTGGTGCTGGTTATTAATACATACGCCTTCTATAGTGCTATTTAGAAAACAAAATAATACCCACAAGCGTAAAAAATATTCGAAGTTCAAATATACCTTTTATTGGGAAAGTGTGTGAATAAAATTTTACCATCTATAATAATAATTAAATGCGTTTTGGTTTTTAGACAGGATGGACACAAAAATTAAATGGAGCTTAAATGTAGAAATTTTTTCCGATTGAGAGAAGTTTCTACTAAATTTGACGAAGGTATTTCTAAGCTGAATGAGGTAACCAATGAAACATATATGGGACATATTGCTGAATCGGTTTAGCCTAAACTTGACCAAATTTTTCTAGCAGGAACCTAATGAATGGTCCAAAATTAAAACAAATTGGACAAACCTGACACGCCCGGTGTATCACACCAATTAAATTGGAGAAAAATGTATATATAAAAGCTATCCCTAAGCAAATGGGCAAAGATATAAGGAGATATATCCGAGTCTGAACCGATTACAAACAATTGTAATAGGTCTCGTGCTTGCGCCAACAAATTAACAGTTTTTGCCCCATTCTAGCATTGAATACGACTTGTAATTATGTTACATACATAGGTATGTATAAGCACCAGCGGGAACTTTTGCATGTTTAAACATAGGTAAGAATACATAATACCCTGTACCACAGTGTAGCGTAGGGTATAATAATGTCTTTGATCGCCTAACCATTAATCAGTGCCATCATTGCGAACCATAGAGTGAAGAAAAATTTGCCCAACTTGTAAAAAACAAAAATTTTTACACAAAAAGTGCAAAAAACTCTCACTTGTAATTATAAGGGGAGTCAAGGGCGCCCCTTCATACTTCTCTGCCTCCTTACTATTACTTTAAGGAAGGAATAAACGGTGTTGAAATTTTCATAAAGATGCTCTTATTCATGCCTTTTTTATATAGAATTCAAAAGTAGTTTTATTGTATTATTTTTATCTATGAAGAGGGACATTTTTATATATTAGGTAACAGCAAAAATAACAGTCTCTTTTTTTGAAATGATACAAAATTTTTTCATACTCTTTTTATTTATTTCGCAAATGTATATAATTGCACCCTTATAAGAATTGGTAATGATGCATAGGTGATAATCTTAGCGTAAATTGAATATAATTTTAAACAAGAATTAATAATCAAGTAATCAATTTTGCTTTACTGAACATTTTTATATTGTTGTTACATTGACTATGTTTAGTGCCGATGGCAATTTTGAGGTTACACTTGCGACCAAGGCAACAATTTACTCTGAAGGACTAGTTGAATGGAAACCACCAGCTATTTACAAATCATCCTGTGAAATAGACGTAGAATATTTTCCATTTGATGAACAGACTTGCGTTTTGAAATTTGGAAGTTGGACGTATGATGGTTTTAAGGTAGGTTTAATTTTATTAATAGTTTAAAAAATAATACAAATTGTAATTGTAAAGCTGTATATAAACACATGTTATATGACATATTGCTTGAAATGTACACACCTATAATAACTGTTAAAATGTACACATTTGAATGAAAAAACACATGTGCATATTCATACATAGGCAATATATCTTTTGTATCACTTTGAAAATGTAAATCTTAACCAATGTACATATTTATGTCGTAAAACTTGAAACAATATATCATATGTGGTAGTTTTGTGCTCATATGTGGTAGTTTTGTTACTCGGAAGCGATCCTACCTGTCTATAACATATAAGTGCAGAATTTTTAAATTTAACGTATATTTTATTGAGTATTATGATCACGATCATTTCCATATCAATAAATCGATGACAATACGTTTCTATTATAGTTTATAAGAAAATTATCATTCTGCACACAGTTTTGCTATTAAAGCTAACACCAGTTTTTAATCTTCTTTAAAAAAATACGATTAAAATTCAAAATAGTATTAAAACATATTATATAACTTTAATTTTGTATGTATAAAAGTAGGTACACAATACAAAACACATACTTCGTAATGCTTTTTACCCTTATCGATTCTCAAAGCAAGACAATATTTATTCTATTCATCTCAAATTCTTTCAATACTCAAATAAAATTTAAGCTTGGACAGTTTTGAAGCATATATTAAACTCATACATGTATAAAAGCGTTACGTTCGGATGGTCCGAACATTTAATACCCTATACCATGAGATGAGGGGTTTTGCAACGACGAATGACAAATACATCGGTTTGAAAATTTAGTTAAAGTTTTCAAAATATCATAAAATTTGGCGGTAGCGTAATATAGGGTCCATATCAAAACAGTGGTTGTTAAATATTGCTAGTTTCAAATACCAAATTTAATTTTTTTAAATTTATCAGAATACCCCAAATCCGGTGCGCCTCGGTAACCCACTACGATTATTCAATGTGATCTGCTCATTATTAATTTTTTCCTTTATCATTGATTACTGTTTGTTCTGTTCTAGAATGAATATATAACTATTGCAATTTCTTTCCATATCATAAAGACAAAGTTTTTGCAGAATCTGGAACAGATCAATTATTGATCCGTTCATTTAGCCATTACGTGTTCCTGAACATTAAAATAGTCAAATCTTCTGTCGATACAACATTTAACTGAAAGTGTCACATAAAACGTCACCTCTCACTACTGGATATTGCATATAATTTGGATGAGAATTGAATGTTTATTGACAATTTGAAAATTTATTATTTTAACATTTACTCTGTAATATATTACAGGAAAGTAAGTTAAATCAAATAAAAAATATGGTGACATTTAAACAGACGGCTTTCAACGGGAATTTATAAAAAAAAACAGATATCAGGGTTTAGGACTTTATTTTTTGTCAAACACACAAAAACAGGTCAAAATATATTGTTCGTTTTTGAAATATAAATGGATTGACATATTTAAAAGCAACGTCTTTAAGTTATTGGTGGACGAAGCTACGTTTGACAAAGTGAATAAATATTTGGTGAACAGAATCAAGTTTGTTATGTTTAATCAAAAAGTGTAACAACTTAAAAAATCGGTTTCGAGAAAAAAAAAATTCAAATATATTTTTAAGTTATAAATTGGAATTTAACTTTTAAAGTTTGAAATAATAATGGATAAAAAATGGCGCGCACAGCGGTGTGATAAATCATAACAATTTTAAAAGTGGGCTTTACAGGTTTTATTCTCATTGAACAATTGGTTTTGTCCCATTCATTGTTAGCGTATTTACAGCAAAATAATTTGTTCAGTAGATTTCATGCTATATCAAAAATTTCCAAAATGACCGTGGAAGGGACTGTCAAAATTAACACCATTAAGATGATAGTGATATCATAGCTCCGTACAAACATTTTCAAACCCAAAGATCTAATGGATCTAGAAAGACAATATTCTTCCACAAATGTACAACATTTTACAAAGTATAAATTCCGAGTTTTCAACATATCCGTTGACAAATGTGGCCCAAGCTATAAGAAAACCGAATATTAGAAGTATGGAAAACGTAAACCGACAAGGACCATTTACGAACTATATCTATGCAATGACAAAATTAATATACCCTCCATAAAAAGATGGATTGTAAACAAATAATGAGACCCGACCATTATTAATGAAACGAATGCTTCATAACGGTGTGTGTTCAAGTCTCGGCATCGGCAAACGTATAAAAACATTAAGAAAGATATGAATGTAATGTAACACTTGAAGAACCTCTTAATTTTCGTAACCGTGGCACGGTGTACAGCATCGGTGTATAGTAAAAATAATGAATACGAATTTACCTTTTTAATCCTAGCAGTAGAGAATTCGAGTAAAGAGTGAAACTCACTCATTGATTACAACTGCCAAAAAATTATCTTAAAAAAAGCTTTGTCTTATAATTTGTCGGTGCTCACACTATCCAGCAAGGGCATGTTACACGAAATAAATATTTTTTTACCAGTCGATTTTTTTAAAAGTCAATCATAATAAGTTATTATCTTTAAATTTTAGTTACCAGAAAATAACTTAATGTCTACAAATTTCGTGTGATATGCTTTCTTAAAATAGTGAGTTGGTTATCCGAATTTGTATTTTTCTGGTAGTTTAGTTTATATTAAATCGAACATCACAATAGTACCATATATGTGGGAATTGGTTTAACTTTTGATGTAGCTACCATACCGTGAAATGAGTAATAAATTTGTCCTGTAATTATTTTTCTTTCAATGACAACTAATTTTGACATTGCTTTAATAACTGCATAAATTTGTTTAATTTGCACCTACAAAACATGGCTGCGACGGTTTTTGTCACTTTTTTCTTGCGATTCTTCTGATTTATATTAACATAAAACTTGTGTACGAGGGAGACAAATATAAACTTGCATACAGTTTTGCTGTTGACAATGTTTAAAAAATTAATAACTCGCTATAGTTGTTTTTAACTGCTTCTACTTCCAACTCCCTGAAGTATATAAGTTCATATTTTTTAGAAAACAATTGTGTGGAACAATAAATTCAATTCCAGAAAATTCAAGCTGTAGTGCCTGATGGGGTTATAATAACAAACTGAGCTGGCAAACTTATAAATTAAAACTTTAATTTATCTAATTTCAGTCTCAATAATATACAAAATGTGTGTTTCACATAAGGTTATTTTATTAACTTATAATTTTTGCAGTGCTGATGGACATTATGAAGTCACTCTGATGACTAAAGCGACAGTGCATAATAGTGGATTGGTGATATGGCAACCACCTGCAGTCTATAAGTCATCTTGTTCAATTGATGTAGAATATTTCCCTTACGACGTGCAAACTTGTATCTTAAAACTAGGAAGTTGGACGTACGATGGTTTTAAGGTGCTAATATGTCAATGAAATATAATGAGTATGAGTTTTTATTCATGTATAAAAAATATATATACAAGTATGTATTTATATACGTACATTTATTTATTTATTTAAATTATGTTACAGTGTTGGAATGCATTAGCATATTTAGAAAAAAATATTCTCATTTTTTTATAACAAAAGATTTTAAAGTGTTTAGGGATGATTTGAAAAATGAACAATTTTCAATAATCAGTACAAGTATCTTCAAACCTTTAGATTTGGAATCGGTTAATGTGTATTATCGGGAAACACAAACTGCGACATATCATTAACACTACGCAAATGTCAAGTAATGTTTATAAAAAAACTGGTGATCCGAAAATGTAAAAGATACGTTTGGGATTTATATAATAGTTAGAAATAAACACAAATAATATAGTCAGTTATTTGAGGGTTTCAATTTACTGGAATGCTATTAAAATAATCAAATTGTGATGAAAGCGCATACCAACAACTTATTGCAATATTTGCTTAGCAGTTTGGCTAAAAAGTCGATGTATAGGCTTGTGGTTAGACTTTAAAAATGTGTTCAATAAAGACCGTGACACAATGAACGGGCCGTACTTTTTTTCATCGATAAGACAATATTTATATAGTGAGGTAACATTCTAAGGTATCTATACGAAATAGTGGAATTGCATAAAAAAATTTCTTTCATAGGAAGTACTACCAATTGCGAACTTAAAATTCTAAATAATCCCGGCAAAAAATTGGATAAAATGTGAAGTTACCGAATATCTAGAGGTTAGCAGTTATATGGTAAACAGAGATACAATATACCTAAAACGCATGAGTTCCAAGAAATCTCAACTCTGCTGCCTAACATATGTTAACTTTCGTGTGGGATACAAGTGTATCATCTTTAAATCTCTACTTACTGAATCGACTTTGCCATTCTTAAAAGTATTTTTAAGTCGTACAGTGTTATCTTTGTCATACAGTGTTATCTGTTGACATACATACATCAACGCGAGTAGCTATAAACGCTTAAACAGCGCATTAAAATTATCCCGTTTAGTAAAACTTAAGAATTTTTAGGTCGTCGTGACACACTTTGTTGTGAAACCCGTACGTGACCCTCAAGAATTGTTAAGAATGTTGTTGTGTTTAGAAAACTAACATTTGTTCATTTCACGTGGTTCTTTGAAAGTGGTCATTACGTTACTATACCGAATTTTTCAACAAGACTTGGGTATAGAAGCTTATACACATCACTTAATACCAGTACTGAAGCTGGCTGTACAAAACAACGTCGTACAATTGCTAATTAAGTCCTTGTAATTCATGCAGTTGCAATATTCTTCACTTGTGAGGCAGATTTTCACCTCGGTGGCTCCACCAATGAGTAAAATGTCGCATCAGGGGTTCGAAAAATCTTACTTTTTCATGCCTAATATTTTATTGAATGCCCATTAAATACAGTAGTTATTGGTTTGTTTTTAAGTTATTAAATGTAATGTTTATTACAGACTCTGTTTCGTAAAATCTAATGATTTCCTCGAAATAATTGTATGTGAGATTTACAATTTTATTCGAAACTATATTAGAGTGGGTCCTCGTTATATTCTTAACATCAAGAAATTTGTTCTTTAGACTTGAAATGAATTGGCCAAATTTTACAAGTTACAAATATATTTTTTACGATCAGCATTGGAATTCTCTAACTCATTTTCTGAGCCAAAAGTCGATAAAATTAAAATACTTATAATTTTGATAAGTAACGAAATTTATCGGTAAAACCTACCGATATATACCAATTGTAAACTTTTATTTCCTTTTTATATCAAAATTTTGGGTTTCAAAGATAGCGATTTTTCTCGTTAACTCAAAAAATTGGTTAGAAAATTACATTATTACCATTACAGGTCTGTAGCTAGATTTTTATACCCTACACCACAAGGTGGTCAGGGTATTATGTCTTTGTGCATTTGTTTGTAACAGGCAGAAGGAAACGAGATAGACCCATAGTTCCTTTTGATGATCTGCATAGAATCACATTCTGAGTCGATTTATGCATGTCCGTCCGTCCGTCTGTCCGTCCGTCCGTCTGTCCGTCCGTCCGTCCGTCTGTCCGTCTGTCCATGTATTTTTGTAAACAAAGTACAGGTCGCATTTATTGCCCGATCCAGATGAAATTTTGCAAAGATCTTTTGTTTGGCCCAAGGACGAACCCTATTGAAATTGGAGATAATCGGTCAAAATTTAGATATAGCTCCCATATATATCTTCGTCCGATTTGCCTTTTATTGTGCACCAAACGTGTAATATCAGTCCGAATTGTATGGAATTTGGCATATACACCCAAATTGGGCCTGAAAATATGTATGCCAAATTTGATCAAAATCGGTTCAGATATAGCTATAGCTCCCATATATATTGTTCATCCGATTTTTTATTTTTGTCCACCGCCGCCGTAATATGCACTATGCAACAACAATATTTGGGGAAATGTATCAAATACAGCTCAGAAATACATTTGCTAAATTTTATCGAGATCGGTTCAGATTTGGATATAGCTCCCATATATAACTTCGTCCGATTTACCTTTTATTGTGCACTAATATTTGTCCAAATGGGATGGAATTTGGCACTTACGACCGAATTAAGTCTAGAAGCTAGTATGTCAAATTTGGTGAAGATCGGTTCAGATATAGCTATAGCTTCCATATATATTATTCATCCGATTTGTTATATTTGTTACCCACAACCGTAATATGCACTCCGTAACAACTATATTCAGGAAAATATATCAAATACAGCTCAGAAACATCTTTGCCAAATTTTATCGAGATCGGTTCAGATTTGGATATAGCTCCCATATATATCTTTATCCGATTTCAAATTAATTGTGCATCAAATGGGCAATAAAATTCCGAATTTAAAAGATACAAATGCTTCGGCATATTTAGTCCTTTGAACTTTAAATTATAATTATAATCATAGCGTGTATGAGTGAATTCTCCCATAAAAATTTTTAATTGTTATGTGGAGCTCTACTTAATTAGCAAAGTGGTGTAGGGTATCATAAAGTCGGCCCCGCCCGACTTGAAGGCTTTCTTTACTGGTTTTATTATTTATTTTCTTTTTAAAAATGGTACGAAAACAATAAATGTTGGCAACACCTTTTCGGAACAGTTAGGATTTGTCACTGTCCAAGTTTATAATTTGAAGAAACTGGGACAATTTAAGTGTAACTTCTAATAAGCGAAAACTTATTAGAATCCAGTTTTCAAATACTACTGTGAAAATTCACTGTACGACTGCAACCTATAAATATGAAAATCTTTACGTATATACCAAAGGAAACAATAATGGTCCGTTTTTGTATTTAGAAACAAAATTAATGCGAAAGAAAAATGCAAATTATATACAAAACAAGTAAGCAAAGGCTTTAGTCATACGTTTGTAACTCAAGAACGGCTGGCCTGATTTTACACTATTAAAACAAATCGTGGACGTACTATTGCCGTACGATAAACATCAGAAGAAAATCCATACGGATGAAAATTGAAACAAGGAGTAGGGAGGCACCGAATGTGAAAACATAGCTTTATATGGGTGATCAAACAAATGGTAGAATTATATCCTCTGACGTGGGAAAATTTTCCCAAGGCTTCAAAGTACTTAAAATTATTGTTAGAAAAGATTTAACAAGCCGAAATTCAAAGAATGAGTTAGTTTAGTTTTCCATTTTTTTATTTTTCAATATGATCTCCTGAAACTTCAATACACTTATTCCAACGCGTTTCTAGCATTCTATCCCTTGATTAAATTAGTTTTCCTTAAGGTCTTCAAAATAGTGGTTTACAACTGTAATTACATCTTCATTTAAGGTAAAAGGCTCGTTTTACCATAGCTGTTGATTTTAGCCATTGTTCAAACACTCTTGTGCGCTGGTGCGTTGTCTTGATGAAGAATTATTTTTTTGTGTTGTAAGTCAGGACGTTTCTCTCGAGTTTGTACATTTAATTGATCCAAAAGTTGCAGTAATACTCTGAATTTATTGCTTTACCCTTTTGCAGATAGTCAATCAATAAAATACCTTTGAAGTCGCAAAAACCGTTGCAATAACCCTACCATCCGATTGAATTGTTTTTACTTCAGCTTCAGTTCATTGTTTGTCTCTGGAGTATATTGGTGGATCCATGTCTCATCAACAGTTATGAAACGACGCTTAAAATCAATTTTATTTCGCTTAAAACGATCCAAAACTGCTAGAGAAATGTTTTTTTCTTATTAATTTTTGATCGACTGTTAGCAAATGCGGCACCCATTTTGCTTAAAGCTTTTTCGTTCTTCATGTAAAATTAAATGGACTCGATCATTTGAAATACCCATGATATTAGCAATTTCACGCACTTTTATTCGTCGATCATTTAATAACATATTATGGACTTTGGCTAAAAATTTCTGTTGTTGCTGTTCTGTGTTGTTGCTTGTGCGACCACGTTTAAATTCAGCAACCCAATTTTTAACTGTTGCATATAAAGAAACACTTTCGCCTAACACATTCACCATATCATTTCTTGTCCCGATAAACCTTTTTTATGCAAATATTTAATGACAGCACGCATTTCTAATTTTTCCATTGTAAAAAATTGCGGTTGCATCTTTTTTGAACACCTGTTTCTATATGAAGAAGTTGCCAGAAACAAAATTGAACATGTGTTAATAACAGAGATGGAAGATCAATGAATACATATTTTTATTGTTTTTCAATTCCAACGCCTCCAGCTATTACCAGATTGTCAGAAGTACAAACATTTTCATAATAATTACTAGATTATAGGAAATTAAACTTTCTAAACACTTGAACCAAAATCTGATGCATTTATAAAATAAATATTTTATTATATTTCAAGTAAGCATATAAATACAGTAGAATACATTATTCATATATCTTACATAAAAAAATTATACGTCGTTCGATGGTAATTGAATCAATTGAAAAAGACTAGACCAATTTT